GCGTTGGCCGCGCGCGCATGTCGAATTTTTGTCCGAAGCCTTCATCGCCGACGCGAGGACATCGTCTTCATCATCATCATGATCAGCATCGGTGCCGTCATTGGCCTTGCCGTCGTCATCGTTGCCATCGCCACCATCACCGCTACCACCATCATCGTGGCTACCGTTGTCAATGTCGCCATGGTACCGCGCTCGCTCAAGCCACCGGCTCGCACTGAAATGCCCGTTGGGAGGTGCCCAGCGGCTAGCGCCACTGCGCTCGCGTCGGTCGCGCCGAAAAAGATGCGCGCGAGCGTGTGCGGCGCAGCGCGGCCGCAGAGATGCAACACCTAACACCAAGCACGCGTCGCAATCGCCGCTTCATGGGTTTTGTACACCACCTTGCGGATGGGTTGGTGGGAACATTGTGTGAGCCGTGGAGTTGACATGTCTAAACCTTCCAACACTAGGTGGGCCATTCAGATGGCATTGCAAACGTTGCGCAAGTTTGGTTTTCTCTTTTTTTTTCCAAGAGCATTTGAATCTACACCCCCCCCTCCGGAATTACCGGCACCAGCTTCCGTATTGCAATGTGCATATGATTCTGCCCCACCGCCCATTCTAAATATGAATTCGTATAGTCACAGCTAGACAGGAATTCTCCTCCATTTCACCCTCTGCAGAAACAGTGTGCGCGCACACGTGTATCAAACTCATCAGTTTCCAAGACCACCTTGCAAACCATGGGACTGAGTGAGCACGCGCGCGTCGTCACGCGCGCATGCTGGAAATCTTCAAACATTCTGGGTTTCGTAAAGGGTTTCAACCGAGAGCGCCCACGAAAGCATAGAACAACCGAACGTGTGCCCGCGCTTTGCATTTTCGTAAGACAAGTATTGCCCAACGTGTTCATGACTTGCGACCGAATGGGCCATTCGCGCGTGCATGTTGGAATCGAAGGAGCGCCTTTGCGCGCGTGTTGTCGCAAGAGTTCCTTGCATCAGATGGGACGAAGCGCACACGAGCGCGTCGTCGCGCGCGCATGCGGAAATCCGTCCAACCAAATTCGGTTTCGCAGGGGTTTCAAAATCGAGTGTCCCGAAGTACATATGGGACAAACGTGTGACCAAACGGGCCCTTCGCGCCGAATGTCGAACTCATTCGGACGCCCTTGCGCGCGCGCTGGGGGCGCACGGTCCGTGTCAAATCATACCATGGGTGCCGCTTTTGCGCGTCGGCCGCGCGCGCATGCCGAAGTCCTTCCAAAACCTTCATCACCTACGCGGAGATGCCGCCATCGTCGCCGGCGTGATCAGCATCGGCGCCGTCATTGGCCATGTCGTCGTTTTTGTCACTATCGTCACTAGCATCACTACTACCATCATCGTGTTTACCGTTATCGACGTTGCCATGTTACTCCGCCCGCCCAAGTCGCTGACTCGCACTTTGGAGCCCGTTGGGAAGTGCCCAGCGGTCAGTGCCACCGCGGCCGCGTCGATCGCGTCAAACACTCTGGGCGGTTCGCGCGCGAGCAGCCGCAGATATGCACAAGCCAATGCCAAACATTCACCGCAATCGCCGCCGCATGGTTTTTTCAAACAATGTTGCAGGCGGTCGGTTGGGATGGATGCGCGAGCAGTGGATTTGACAAATATTTGCGGACATGCGTCCATTCTCTTTTTTAAAAGGCAATACTCTCTACCCCCCCCCCGGACTTAACGCTTCCCCTGGGATAGTATAGTTTCATACATATATATATATATATATATATATATTCTGCACACCCGTCCACCCTGAATATGAAATCGTATCATCCCCGCTAGGCCGGTTCCCCCCCTGAGGTTCCCTTTAAAAAAAAACTATGCGGTGACACTTTTTGTTCTAACATAACACTTGTTCACGAATCCCTTGCAACAAACGGGACGAAGTGCACACGCGCGCGTCGTCGCGCGCGCATGCCGAAATCCTTCAAAAACCTTCGGTGCCGGAAGGATTTCGCAATCGAGCTTCCAAAACACATGCAAAAACACATGGTTTCGCAACACTGATTTGCTAAAAAAGCTTCCGCGCGAGCTCTTGCGAAATCTGAAGAAAACCATGGATTTTTGCAAGATTTTCACAACATGCTACCAAATGGGCGTCGCGCGCGCGCATGTCGAAATCTGTCGAACGCCCTTGCGCGTGTGCCGTCGCGAGAATCCCCTGCAACAAACAGGACGAAGTGCAGACGCGCGCGTCGTCGCTCGCGTACGCCGAAATTCTTCAAAACCTATCGGTTTCGGAAGGATTTCGAAATCGCGCGTCCAAAAAACCTACAAAAACCCAAGGTTTCGCAACACGGATTTTCAACAAAAGCGTGCGCGCGCGCTCTTGCGTCGTCATCGTTCGCGTCGTCGCCGTCCTCCCGCCTCCCGCGTCGTCGTCGTCGTCGCCTACGTCGTCCTCTGTCTTTCCTCGTGTTCGTCGTCGTCGTCCTCTTTGGCGTCGTGGTCGTTTCCGTCGTCGTTGTCGCCGTGGTCGTCCTTCCTCCTCCTCCCTCGTCGTCGTCGTCGTCCGTCGTCGGCGTCTCGTCGTCGTCCCTCCTATTTCGTCGCCGTCGTCGTCGTCGTCGTCGTCGTCGTCGTCGTCGTCGTCGTCTTCTCTCCTCCCTCGTCGTTGCCGTCGTCGGCGTCGCCGTCCTTCCTCCTCCTTCGTCGTTCGCGTCGTCGCCGTCCTCCCTCCTCCCTCGTCGTTGTCGTCGTTGTCGCCGTCGTCGTCCTCCCTCCTTCCTCGTTGTCTTCGTTGGCGACGTCGTCGTCGTCTTCGTCGTCGTCGTCGGCGTCGGCGTCGTTGTTGTCTTCGTCGTCGTCGACGTCGGCGTCGTCGTCGCCGCCGCCGTCGTCGTCGTCGTCGTCGTCGTCGTCGTCGGCGTCGTTGACGTCGTCGTCGTCGTCGTCGGTGTCGTCGTTATCGTCGTCGTCGACGTCGTCATCGTCGTCGTCGTTGTCATCATCGTCGTCGTCGGCGTCGGTGTCGTCGTCGTCGTCGTCGGTGTCGTCGTCGTCGTCGTCGTCGTTGTCGGCGTCGTCGAAGTCGTTGGAGACGTCGTCGGTGTCGTCGTAGTCGTCATCGTCGTTGTCGCTGTCGTCGTCGCGTCGCTGTGATTGCCAAGTGCCATGTGGTACCCACCGTCACGGTCTTAAGAGATTTTGCAAACCAAGTTGCGAGTGGGTGGGTGGGATGTTTGCGCGAGTAGTGGAGATGGTCAAGCGCGGTGCAGGGTAGTCAATTGCACCACATAGCTTGCACAACATAGATTGCACCACACACACTCACACACACGCAATGCTAGAACACATTGCTTGAGGCCCATGCTGGTTTATGTTGTATGAAGACTACTCACGTGGTGAGCCTACTAGCGCATTCGTCCCGTACTCAAATGGCCCGTGGCAACGGCAAGGGCGATTTGATCAGGAACCGGTGATCAGTCCGAAGAGGCAAGCACTGCATTGACCGTTCGGAGGTCCGCCCGGAATGCGTGGATCCGCGTTGGGCGCCCCTTACGGCGCCTGCGGCGCGGCCCAACGCTTGCTCCACGCGCCAGGGAGGGGCATCTAGCGCGGATCCACGACATCTGCGCGGACCTCCGACAAGTCACGCTTACGTGTTCTCTGTCTTCTAGTAGCGCGTCGCGGCGGTTACTTTGGCGACGCGCTGTGCTCCGCGAGCTGGCGTAGCGTGTCCATCCGCTCCGCGTGTGGCGGGAGGCCAGCAAACGTTCAGAACGTCGACTCTTGTGGATAGGGCGTGTTCAACGTATCGTGCCGAAGCGTGGTGGGCCAGAATCAGCGGCGCGACATGCTGAGCAAACGATTTTTGATTTATGCTCGGGGGGAACGCATCGACCCCCAAACGCTCATTCATCGCCGATCGCCCAGGAAGTGCTGACATTTAGGGCGCGTGGATGAAGGACCGCTCCCGCTTCCGTGCCCGTCGACGCGTTCCGTCGCCAAATCAAGCAACATTGGCCTCATGTTTTAAGGGATGGGTTTCCTGAACAGTTTTTTTGCGCGTTCCCAACGAACGGGGCTTGATTGCCCACCCTGCCCAGGAGCGCGCGGTTTTGCGATCGAGGCCATATCGCATATTTTTCGGCGACATATCGCCGATTCCATCTCGGTGTGTCTTTCCCTGCCCTACAAGTGATCCCCGTCAAAGGGCCCCCGCTCCCTTTGCGGAAATATTGCGACGGGGCGTTCTGTGCAAGTTTCGACCTCTCCTTAAGAAAGTGAGTCCTGGAGGTGTCTGCTGCTTTCTGGTCCCACATCCTCCGGAAGGAAACAGTTTCTGCAGGCGTTTGCTGTCTTCGGGCCCCACGCCCTCATCAAGCTCGTCCGGCTTCTCCCCCTCCGCATCCCCACCTCCCTTCAGATCCGGGCGGGGCGCCGCGAAGAGCTCGCGACAGCCAGTTTTGCTGTACGTTCTCGGCCTACCTGCCCCAGGGGCCGTCAAAGACAGTTCGGGAGGAAAAGCGGATTATCTCGTCCGTGCCCGTTGCGCCGCCAGTGATGCGCGCGTGTATGGCGGAGAGCGGATGGGCAGGACGGGGGAGAGGGCAAGTGGGAAATTCTGTCTTGCGGCAGCGGTCTTACGCAGAAGGCACACGTACAGCACCGTGCGGGGCCAGGGCAGTTTTGGCCCTCGCATGGCGTGGCGGCACAGATACGCCACAACCATTGCCTGGCAAAGGCGATCCTGGGCCCGTATCGCACTCCTGGTCGAGGCAGGGAGGGTCTAGGCCCCATCCTGGGGCCCAGGGTTGCCTTGGGCAGGCATGCTGGTGTGTACACGCCTTCTGTGGAGGCCGTTGGGCAGATCCCCAGGACCGGGCGAGTGCAGAGAGGCTGCTCGACGCGACGTGTGACCTCACGGCGGCGTCGTCTGGACAGGCAGGCGGCGACCCCCGTCCTCGCCAACCCCCACTCTGCAAGCGTCAGAGATTGTGCAGCCAGCGCGGGGATGGATACGGAGCAGAGCGTCATCAAGGCGCAATTTCGGCTCGCATTGGTGTCGCAGTAGGCACATCAGGTAAGAAGACGGGCGCCCCACAAGAGCTTCTTGCTCCACGATGGCCTCGAGAACCCCACCGAAGTCTTGGGGCACCCAAGGATGTTTAATGTCGGGGGAATGTGTCCCCTAGATACTCTTTCACCGCATCCATATGCTGCATGTTGCCTGGCCCAGGCCCATGTGCATCCTTTGAAGCTGCAGGTACGAGCTGCGAGGTTTGCGCCTGGCATGGCAGTGGCACCACCGCTGCTGGCCCGACTGCGCCTGTGCTGAGAATGTGAGTGCTCTTGAGCCGACTGGTTCCACCCGGCATTGCTCCGCCATTGTTTTGCATTGGCGGTACACGTGCCAATACCGAGACAGTCATGGGTTAGTCGTTCGCGTTGTGTGATAAGTATGCCATGAGCGAGGCATGTGCAAGCCGCTCGAGGAGATGTACCCACATGCGAGGTATCTCCCAGAAGCGGGTGCACTGCAACAAGCAACATATCATGGACAATGTCCAAGTCTGTGTAGGCTGCGAGTAAACCATCAATGGTGCGTTTGAGCATGGATCACACTGTTGCTTACAATACTACTGAGCAGCGGACAACCAGCCGGGAAGGTTTCATGGCTGTCAGAAGTAGAAGGGCATGAAGCCTTTGGGATTCCACGTGTCAGGCATGTTGCGCTGTAGCCCTGAGCAGAGGTTGCATAGGCCTTGAACCCCATGGCCACCTGAAACCTCCAAGTCTCCCCCCCGCCTCTAGCACCCGACGTCATGATTTTGTGTTTGTAGAATGGGCAACTGGGGCCCTCGACTCCTCCAGAGCAGTGTGCTGTTCATCCTGGGCAGTGAAGTTCAATTGCCTTGCGGCCCACAGCCAGCTTTCATGCGCCCTGGGTCATGGAGCAACGCAACTGTCTCGCTGTCTTCTTCCGTGACGCCGGGGCACGCGTTTGCAAGGCTCAGGAGAGGAAAATGATCCCGGCAAAGCAACCTAACAGCGATGTGTAGGAGCATATTTGGAAGCATTCCCCTTAAGATTCACATGATAATCCAGTCGTAGAAATCTGCTGTTCTCGCAGTCGTAGTCGCATTCGCGATGACAGTCGCAGTGGCAACGGCAGTCGCAGTCACAGCCTCAGCCTCAGCCTGCCTCTGCCTCAGCCTCAGCCTCAGCCTGCCTCAGCCTCAGCCTGCCTCAGCCTCAGCCTCAGCCTGCTTCAGCCTCAGCATCAGTCTGCCTTCAGCCTCGGCCTCAGCCTCAGCCTGCCTCAGCCTCAGCCTGCATCAGCCTCAGCCTCAGCCTGCCTCAGCATCAGCCTGCCTCAGCCTCAGCCTCAGCCTGCCTCAGCCTCAGCCTCAGCCTCAGCCTGCTTAGCCTCAGCCTCAGTCTGCATTCGGCCTCGGCCTCAGCCTCAGCCTGCCTCAGCCTCAGCCTGCATCAGCCTCAGCCTCAGCCTCAGCCTGCCTCAGCGTCAGCCTCAGCCTCAGCCTCAGCCTGCCTCTGCCTCGCCTTATCCTGCTTCAGCCTCAGCCTCAGTCTGCCGTCGCCTCGGCCTCAGCCTCAGCCTGCTCAGCCTTAGCCTGCATCAGCCTCAGCCTCAGCCTCAGCCTGCCTCAGCATCAGCCTGCCTCAGCCTCAGCCTCAGCCTCAGCCTGCCTCAGCCTCAGCCTCAGCCTGCTTCAGCCTCAGCCTCAGTCTGCCTGCAGCCTCGGCCTCAGCCTCAGCCTGCCTTAGCCTCAGCCTGCCTCAGCCTCAGCCTCAGCCTGCCTCAGCCTCAGCCTCAGCCTGCTTCAGCCTCAGCCTCAGTCTGCCTTCAGCCTCGGCCTCAGCCTCAGCCTGCCTCAGGCCTCAGCCTCAGCATCGGCCTGCCTCAGCATTCAAAATGTGGCCCGGGAACGGAGTTCTGGGAACTCGAAGAACACGAAGTGGCCTACAGTTGGCTCTGGGCATTCAAAATCATGCCTAGGAATGGAGTTCTGGGAACTCGAAGAACACGAAGTGGCCTACAGTTGGCTCTGGGCATTCAAAATCATGCCTAGGAATGGAGTTCTGGGAACTCGAAGACCACGAAGTGGCCTACAGTTGGCTCCGGGCATTCAAAATCATGCCCAGGAATGGAGTTCTGGGAGCTCGAAGAACACGAAGTGGCCTACAGATGGCTCCGGGCATTCAAAATCATGCCCAGGAATGGAGTTCTGGGAACTCGAAGACCACGATGTGCGTTTCTGCTGGTTAAAAAAGGAATCCCCGGATTCCCGGGGCACCCGTCCGGCATCTGCCCAGACCCCCCGGGGAGTCATGATGCTCTCTTTTGACCCTACTAGAAGCCTAACAGTCTTCGCTGTTAGGTAAAACATACAGACACAATTCATTGCTGATTCTCGAGCAAGTCTATGATAATATGGGCAGTGGGGGGGAAGATAGAAGCCCAGAAAATATAGGGAAATATTGAGAATATGTTTATTCCCTACCTAGGCTCTGCCTAGAAGGGTTCTTACCCTCTGGGCTTAAAGGGGCCGGGCAGTGGATATCGCCACGGGCGGTTCCCCCAGGATCCGCCCCGCGGTTCCCCCAGTCCCCTGGGAGCTTTAGTTTTAGCTTTAGCTTTAGCTGCAACTTAGCTTTAGCTTAGCTGTAGCTTAGGTTTAGCCTAGCATTAGCTTAGCTTTAGCTGAGCTTGAGCTTAGCTTGAGCTTAGCTTGAGCTTAGCTTAAATTTAGCTCTAGCTTAGCTGTAGCTTAGATTTAGCTGAGCTTTACCTTGGCTATACCTGAGCTTTACCTTAGCTTTACCATAGCTTTACCTTAGCTTTACTTTAGCTTTACCTTAGCTTTACCTTAGCTTTAGCTTAGCTCTAGCTTCAGCTCTAGCTTCAGCTCAGCTTCCGCTTAGCTTTAGCTTAGCTTTATTCTAGAGTTAGCTTTAGCTTAGCTTTAGCTTAGCTTTAGCTTAGCTTTAGCTTAGCTGCAGCTTAGCTTTAGCTTAGTTTTCGCTTAGCTTTAGCTTAGCGTTAGCATAGCGTTAGCATAGCTTTAGCTTAGCTTTAGCTTAGCTTTAGCTTAGCTGTACTGTTACTACTAATGCTGCTTTCCTAGGGGCTCCAACTCCTAGGTAGGGTCGCATTGGGATACTTTTTGTGTATTTATTTGTGTGTCCCAGGGCCACTTCAAAGGCTACCTTGGCCAGCAGCCTCTGTGGAGCCCGTTGGGATCGCCTCAGGCGTGCAATCGCCTTTCCAGACTGTCGCTGCGTGTCAAGGGGCAAGCGTCAAGCAAGGGCAAGCGGAGGTTTCAGGCCCCGAGGAGGCTTCCAGATGCCTCCGGGGACCCCCGGACTCCCAACAACAAGGGACGAGCGCGTCCTCAGGGGCTTCTGGATGCCCCCGAGAGGCCGGCAAACCGTGACGAGCACGTCCAAAGAACTGGAGGGTCTGAGGGTCTCCAGAGATGCCTCCGGGGGCATCTGGGGGCCCAGCAAGAAGCGACGAGCACGCCCCAAGAGGCCTCGGGATGCTTCCGAGGGCCCGACAAAGAGTCGGGGGCGCCCAAGCGGTGCGGTGACCACACCCTGTGGTATGTCAGTGGGCATTCGGGGTGACCGCACGGTCTTCGAGCTCGGGCCGTTCTCCAAGGGCACCACGGGCGGTTGGGGGGCCTCCAGGGTCCCAACACCGTGCGGCGACGGATCGTGCGGTGGGGTCTCTGGGAATGCCGAGGTCACCGCGCGGTCCGTCGCCGCACCGTTTCGGGGCCCCCGAGCGCCCCCAGGGGCCTCAGGATTTCTCCGATGGGCGGGCGCGGAGCGTGACGAGCGCGCCCAACAGTTTGGAGGTCCCGAGGGCTTTCTGGTCGGGTGGCCGTCTGGGGGGCCTTCCTTGGGCCCACCTGACGGATCTGTTCGATTGCTCGATTCCAGTGTGAGTCTAGTTCGACTCCAGTTCGACTCGAGTGCGACTCAATGGCGGCTCAAGTCGACGGACGTTCGACGCAGCATCGACGGGCCAGTGGCTCCAAGAAGGCCCCCAGAGCCCCCCCCCGAGTCGGAGGGAGAGAAAACGACACCACCATCACCACCACCACCACCACCACCACCACCACCACCACCACCACCACCACCACCAGGGGTGCCACCTCCAAGGTGCCTCCCCGAGCGGGGGATGTTGGGAAGTCTCGAGCGGGGAGGCGGGACCACGTCGCCAGCAGGGGGTGCCAAACTCCAGCGGCGAGGTCCCCGAGGTCTCCCCGAGCCGGGGGCTAGGGGATGTCGGGAAGGTCTCGAGCGGGGAGGGGGGACCACGGACCACACCGCCAGCAGGTCCCCCCGCGGGCTCCTGGCACCAGTTGTGGGGGTGGTGGGTGTCGCGGTTCCTGGTTCCTGTCCGAGGTCCCCCCGAAGCCGCAGACCCTTCAGAGCCCACAGAACCTATCCGGCCCCGCTGCAATCCTTCTCCTCCTCCTGCTCCTCCTCCTCCTCCTCCTGCTCCTCCTCCTGCTCCTCCTGCTCTTCCTCCTCCTCCTCCTCCTCCTCCTCCTCCTCCTCCTCCTCCTCCTCCTCCTCCTCCTCCTCCTCCTACCGCAGCGCCACCGGGCGTTCCCACTCCAACCCCGCGCTCGCGCCCGCCCAGGGAGGGGAAGCAACTGCCGCAGGCGTTGTTGTCGAGGAGGTGTCTTGCCCGTAGCGTGGTGTACGGCGCAAATTTGCCTGCAACGTTCACGGCGTCGTAATTTGGTATTGTATTGCGCACGGAAATGCCGTAGTAAGGTTCCAGCAAAAAGGTAGTGGTCGGGAGCTTGATATGAGTCCTGTCGCAGTCGAAAATCAAGGCACGTCTTCCCAACGGGCTCTCCTCGGGGCCACCTGTTTTAAGTAGCCGGATGCACGCGTCGGGT